CATAGCACAGGCACAGCAACTTCTCATCATGCATCTAGACAGTATTCCTTTCCATTTTGATTCCTTTGTCCTGTCAGTCAGCTTTTATAGGGTGGAGAAGAAAATTATTTTAATGGAAATAATAAACAATGCTCTTCATCATACCTTTCTGTGTACCTTGTAACAGGGTTTATCAAAATCAATCTATAAAAAATCCACAGTGCATGAAAATCCATAATGCATAATCCATTTAATTGAATCTGCAACATATGCATCTGTGAATTTAAACAGCATGAATTAATGTGAATATATAGCATGTGCATGAATATATAAATGTGCATGAATTAATGTGAATATATAGCATGTGTTTTTCTTTGCCTGCTCTCCAGTAGATTATTATTAGCAATAACAGATTCTAAAACTAGCTTTGCACATTTGATGTATGCTGCTGGGGGAGGGGAAGGAGGAACAGACAGAATGGATTGGGGACGCTGTTCCAACAGTATCCTTTACTCTTTTGGAAATGTGCAGCATTGGCTTTCTCCTTTTTTCTCAGTATCTGCTATGATGTTGTCAGGGAGACAGAGTCCTTGACTTGCACCCAACTGCTGAGGCCGTCACCTTTATAACAGTACTACCCCCCCAACCTTGTACCCACCGAAGATTTAAGTCTGTTCTGTGACAGGCCCCTATATGAAATATTTAGGTGTTTTAGAATAAAAATCTCCCTGAGCTGTCTCTGCAGTTAACTCAGAGGAAGCCAAAACTTCATTCCAAAATGCCTATTCCAAAAGACCTGGCTTTATAATGTATTTGTAGCCCATTTTATTTATATTTGTATGCTTTTTTAACAAAATGATAGTGTAAAGAGTCCCTAAGTAGCCTTTCATACCATGGTTGTTCACGAAGTACATTCTACATATATTAAAATCCACAACATTTGTGAACCTCCTTCAGTTTTCCTGTAACTGCCATAAAACTGTAGTGTAAATTGATCTTGAAAAAATACACTAAATGGGCATCTGTTCGTAACTAAATTATGGTAAAATATCTGTTGCCTTCTCGAGCAATTGGATCTCTAACTGTCAATTTTAAAAGTAATCAGGTTTTCAAGACAGGACACAGACTACAGCTATTTTAAAGGTCAAAATTGTTTTAGATTTTAATTTTTCTTATTTAATCTGTTAAAATTCTTACAGTACTCAGACTTACTGGTTTTTATTTATAAATAGTTGTAATACTAAGGTGTTTAAACCTGTTACTGAACAGATTGGTAAAAGACATTACTATTTTAATTAAATTCTGAAAAGACATTCTGTGTATAACCTTTGAGCACAACCCTGCAGTCATTGCTGAGAAAACTCTAACTGACTTGAAAGATTCAAATTTGGAATACAGCAGACACAAAAAATAAAAATAGGTCACTAGGATATAATTGTAAACACTCTGCACATATTTTTTTCACATTATCTTTGCTAATATCTGGTAAAACATTGTTTCTCAAGTAGGTATGAATAGTGCCAGATGTCCAAATAGCATTTTGATTAACTTCAATTGTATCGTGATATTTAGTAATGCAATCTTTTTCATGCAGTTGTTTACAGATAAGTATAGTAAATAATGTGACTTACAAGAAAAAATGTGAAAGGGATCAACTACTCAGGCACTATGCCTACAGAACTAATCAATCTATTTTTAAATATTTCAGAAATGGGAAGTAAAGTAAAAGATCAGTGCTACATTTCTGAGCTAAGCACTATCAGTAGTACTTAGGAATCCTTTTCCCTATCCTGACTCTTATTCATTAGTAGCAGCAATGTTAATATACAGTATTTCACTACCAGTTTAAATGTTCAAAGTATAACAATAACATGTATTTGTTTAATAAATTTTCCTTCCGGTTATTTTGTCTTTTGTAACAAAGAACCATAAAGACAGCAAATACGCTCTCTTGTTTAGTGCAAGAGAGAAAGTAAACACTAATTATAGCAAATAACTATTAGTGTCAAAGGATTCCAAGACATTACCAATATACACTTAAGCATTTCAGAGCAGACAGTGACCTTACCTTCATAGCCAAGGAGAAAGCATGTCAGCAAGTTAGGACAGACCTCCTCCAAAATGGAACAAAAAGCAGAGAAAGCACTTGGGCCTTTTAAAGAGAGTTTATCTAAAAAATATTCAGTTCTCTTCTTGTAGCTCTCCTGGGACCAAATGTCTTTGTATTCCTCCAAGGAAAAGACTCTCTTGTAAACCAAATATGACAGCACTTTGTTCACATCCAGCTCTTCCAGTATTTTCTCTCTCTGATTGCTTAGGATTTCAGAAAGCCACTTATTCCTCTTTTCATTTTCTCTTTTGGTAGGTTTTGCACAGTTATAAAACCAAGATTTGGCTGTTCTTCCAAACATTTTGATAGTTAAATAGAAAATAGAAAAATCTACTTCTGCATTTACTGTGCAGTATTCAGTATGCAAAGTGAACATAATGTGGATGGATAGAATGCAAATACATACTGCTGTCTGTAATTATTGTAATTGTAATGCAATAAAGAAGGCCTACATACAAATTATAAAGAAAGCTAGCTCAGTGCCTGCAGCCTCCTAAGAGGATTACGTTACACTAATTAGCCCTTTACAACTGTTAACAGCTTCTGAACCGTAATGATGAGGCTGTGAATTGCTTAGTTACTGTTACTTTTTAATTCTGTAACTGATCTTCAAAGATACCCCTTTGCAAAAAATAATTCATTCAAGAAGACAGCTGATCAAACTGACATAATCTGTACAAGCTGGTACAGGACATAAAATAAAGTGTCTTCTGTACATTTTAATTTGGTACTCCTCAGAGGCCGTGACCAAACCACAGTATAAATGCCCTTCACTTCTTATTCTTTCATCAAATACTAGCTTTACAATGCAATGGAATTATACATTTAGAAAGCATGTTTCTGTAAATATATTGTAATCCTATATACAAAAGGTAAAAAAAAAAGGTCACAGAATAAGACCTTTTTTGTGAAGGTGACTATGTCACCCTTAAGAATAAAACAGCATTTCTACATGTTAGATCTATAAGTTGTGCCCAAGCAACATAAACCACCATATAGCATCCATTTTGTGGGTCAGGTTTAACAGTGGAGATTACTGCAATCCTCGTGGAGGTGTTCTGCCACTGATAATCATTCGCTGAGGATCACACGTTACATAACCTCCCTTACGCAAATGCTGCTTAATACATGGACTTTTTGGTCTTGTTTTCATACTTTCTGTCAACATAAATTCCCTGTATAGGAAAGCTATGAGTACTTCCTGCCTCCTCCTCCTGCTTCTTAGTCTATTTTTAGTATTTCTATTACTTCCAACTAGTAATGCATCTACGGCCTTGTCTGCAGTTTTCTTAAGGGTACTTTACCTAGTGTGCAGCAAACAAAAATAATTTGCCATGCTTTTAGGAAAACAAGTTTTGTAATATTTTCAGACCTTATGATCTTAAGATTCAACCACTGTATCCTCCTTTCAGGCTTGTTCTGTTTCTGAAATTTCAAGCATTCATCAGTCAGCATTAAAGTTGACCCCTGACCATATAATAATTTAGGTAATTTTATTGTGTGTATCACCAAGCAATTAACTAGCCAGGCTTCACAGAACTGTTTGGAAGCATTGCCTGTCACCTTGTGGTTGTTTGTAGATACAACAAGCCTTGTATGTGACACATTATCTGGAGTAAGGACGAGTGGAACTATGTGTTATTTTAAGCCATATTAATGGTCCCAGTTTAGCATGTTATGGCTTACTGACCACAGCAGTGAGATTCTCGTGCTTCTTCTGTAATCATCTTGAGTCTACCCTGGTAGAGCTTTCATGTGGCATCACACACCACATGAAAGATGACTCACTTGGGGGAAGATAGGTGGTGAAAGGTATCTGCTATCATATCAGTCAGGTAGTACAGCTAAACAAGGGTAATACACAGTAGGCAGAGAAAGCAGACAACCTATTTGAAGGGCCTGGCACATCTTCTAGGCAACCTTTAAAATTAAGTAAGGCCTCCTTTATAAGCCTAATTTTTAAAATTCCCTTTGATTTTTGAACCTCCATAGGGGTAGTACAAATACTACACCCACCTCCACTCTTCCCATATTCTCAATGAAACCTCATGCTTGGTTTTCTCTCCAAGTTGTTTCTCTCTCAGAAGTTTTACTAATATTAATACCACAATATCTCAACAGGTAAAAGATCCTGATAAAGCCTGGCACTCCACATGTTAGACAGCATCTTATGAATCAGCCTTCTCAGCCACTATAACTTCTGATGGTAAGTTCTTCCATTACTTCAGTAAATGCAGGAGCAAGCCTGAAGTTACAGGTTTTGGGTTCGTAAGACAGTGCCCAAAGATGAGATACAGAGGATATAACCTGAATACATTTCCCAGAGTTTAACCTCAAAACTAAATCTGTGTTTATTTTATTGTGCTGATAACACTGATTGTCATCCGTGTCCTAAATGGAGTAATAAATTCTGCATAGTAGTGAATTTAGAAGTTAAAAAAACAGGTAACCTGTCAGATTAGTAATGAAATGGATTATTAAAGGAAGCTATAGCGTATGTCCTATTTTTGCACATGTCCATGGCAGTTCTGCCCATGACAGTTCATCCTCAAAGAAGAGTGACCTTGCTATGATAAATGGTAGACATAGATGTTGGCAAGTTGCATCTCATCAGAAAAGTAAGGAAGAATTGGTGCAAATGAAAAATGTACATAGGTATCAGTTGGCTGGGGCATATTCTCAATATATCTTAAATAACAAAACTAGTTTTAAAAAAAAGCATTAAAAGGTTTAGCTGAGGCAGAATGACTAGAAGAATTAACTACAAAGCTGTTAGAAAATTCTGGGCATTCATGGGAGAGAAAACAGTACTCTGCAATGAAAATGCAAAGAAAGGTTGGTATGATGTGAGCTGGTTAATATGGACGGTGAATTGTACTACACAGAGCGGTCATCCAGGGTAATGGGCGACATGGATGACAGCTTGACATTTGTGAGTATACAGTATAGGAGTGTCTTTGGGCTCCATGCACTGAATAATTTACAGGGTTTTTTTCTGAAGGAATACAATGTTTTGAGCCAGAAATGTCCCCATTATTTTTGTTGGTAAAAGAATATATCCTTTTAATCTCAAATATGTTTTTATAAAATCTTAAAGATTTTACAAAGAAAAATGAGTGGTATCATAGGAAATGTACCAAATTGTGGACAAATACAAAACTTCACTCTCTACCTTCCCACATACCAAGTAGTTATCACCAGTCACGTAAACTGTAGAATAAAACGCTAAAATTCTGATCTCGTAATTGCCAGAATTTTAATAAAAATCCATACCTTGCAAAATCTGCACATTGGGTAAAGGCAAAAATTTGAAAGTGTGTGTTGAGAAACTGAATACAGAGAAGTGGGTGCAAAGTACAATCAAGGGAGGAAACTAGAGAAATTGAAGGTGATGAAATATTTGAGACGAAAGGATACATGGAAATTCACGGTGGAAATAAAGGATTTGTGATGAAGATCCTGTTTTCCCAGGGTCAAGGAACTGAGGGATTTAACTGCAACGACCTGTAAATGATACAGTGCAGGCTGACTGTGCAATGGAAGATGCACCATCTTTCCAAGCTCTGGGTCCTAGCTGCCTAGCAACTCAAACCTCTTCAAATAATTACCTTGGTGCCATGTTCTGCAATTTGTGCAAAGATGTTTAGTTCAGACAGCCTAATTTCATAAAAATTGGTGTCAAACAGGAAGCATCCACTAGAAATAAGCTCTCTGGCAGTGTTTATTTGACACTGTAGTCAAATAAGGGTGCAGTCTGACCCACATATTTTCACATTGACATTGTTTCATAATGAGAATAGCGAAGGGGGACACAGCGTAGACTGTCCTGGGAGCACTAACTGGCCTCAATGGCCCTGACTGACCTCACCTGGGGCCTTCACCCACACCCCTGTCTGTGGGCCCGGGTTTCCATTTAAGCTCAGCCATGGACCATCAGTCCCTGAGCTTTATCAGAGGTATGCTTGCCCCTGGCTTCTGTTGCTCTGGACTGGCTTCCTTGTTTGGCTTTGCTGCATCACCATGGTCCTGCCTGGTAACTGCTGCGTCTGGCCCCAGTTACTACCATGGGACCTGACCTGTGGATCACTTCCCTAGCTTGGCCTCAGACCTGCCTCATCACCTTCTTACTCATTTTCCCATGTTCTGCTCTTGTCTGCAGACCTCAACTCTAATTGTAATGCCTGGATCCAAGCTGGTTTTTGGAGAAGGTGTGGCTGTAGGCAGCTCTCAAGGGTAGATGTGTTTAATGGATGGTGATCAGAGAGAAAGGACAATAAACCAGTCATAGTTGAGAGTTAGGGCTGCAAAGACCTTAGCGGTGGGCCTCAGCAGGGTGGGCCACCTGAGGTCTAAGCTAATGAACAGGCTGTGGGGCTGTGTTCAGGTGGGTGCTATTCATATTTTCTGTAGTCTGACAATGTGTCTGTCTTTCTAAGGCACCTGGTAATGATCCTCCTTTTTGTTTGAATAATCTTTTGAAGGACCAAGACATTGGTGATGTTATATGTAGGTCCTTTGAAAGTATGTATTTACTTCAATAGTATTGTTTAAGTGTTGCTTTTCTAGTTTTAATAGCAAATGAGCCCCACAGATGCTAAACTGGATATCTGGGAACACAAAGCAAATGTGGTGTTTTTTCCCCCGCTCCCTATTAGAAACTACTTGTGCCTGTCATGCTCTCCACAAAATGGCATCATCAGGATTTTGACAACTAGTGATGCGATTCTTCACTGCAGCCCGTATATTCAGCTTCTTGTTTATGAGGGTTACAGAGAAAAGCTCTTCAAAGCACATTTTTAGGTAAACTGAAGTGGGACTCGGACAAGAGCTGTGGATGTTGACGCTTCCCAGTGGCTCATGGCCCTGGGAGGGAGATGGACGGGCGTTTTATGAACGCCACAGCGGTGAGGGCCGCAAACAGGAATTCACCCAGTTAGCAGAACGAACACCAACTCTCCTGCAAGGCCCCTCGAGTCCCACCCTGCCCGGCCGGGGTCACCGCTGCAGCGAGCGGCCTGACCGCCTCCGCGG